ATACCTTGTATAGATATAACTTCATTGTATATGTGTGTACGTGTACACGTGCATCAGCGAACGTATATATATATACATATGTATATATATTCTGTACACACATATGAATTTATTATATATATATCCATCGATATATGTATATATATTTCTTTATACGTGTATGTATATTACGAATTTTGGCACAATAAGAAATAGAATCACAGTTGAAATCATTGTACATTATAAGAGTCATAGATCATCAATACTTTTTATCTATATCTGCAAGTTTATCTTTTGTATGATAGACTTAATACGTAATGCAAGTACATTTAGCTACGTTATTCCCTTCCCGATTGTTACATTATATCACGAAACAACTCTACGCTAGTCAAGAGCTTATGATTTTGAAAACAATACTATAAATATTAAAAAATCACTGTACCTAATTCCGACCACTGTAAAGCGTGTATTACCTCTTGTTTTGTAGACTTTTAGATTAGGCTCACATCAGTTTGTTGGTTCATCATGTGAAAAGAATATTGAATCTATTTAATTGTTCAGGGCCACAAGAGTATGATTCTCAGTAGTAAAAAAAATAAGTATCTGTTTTAATTTTAGACATTAGTGGTCCATTGTTCTGTTGTATCCCTCATTTATATTAGACTTTTACAAATTTTCAAAATATGTAAACTCCCTTACTACCATTAAGGGTGCACAGTTCCTAATATTTATCTAATAGTGCCGTAATTAAGTGAAAAACTATGCACATTACTCCTAAGCAATTTATCAGCATCATAGATATATATCATTTTGATAAAAACTTTTTGAAATATAACAATACACTTTCATTTGGTTGATTTCGTAGAAATTTTGGAAAAAGTGGAAAACTTTAACACTGAACGAAAATATTTGTTCTAACTAACGGATTAAATTTTAATTGTTTAGAGTAAACATTTGCATATCACTTCGTAAGTATATGAGAATTGTAAATAAATATTTCCGTTTATGAATTTAAAATGACAAATGTAAAAATTACAAGTAACTTTCACATATATATATATAAAACAAAATTGTATAGAAAATTTCATTTTTGAGCATTTTGAATTTTGATGTGAACAACAGAGAATGTTTCCTCTGTGTTATAATATTGAACAAAACAATTGTTGTACCTCGTATAAAAAGTGTTTTTAATAAAGTATTTGTACACGCGTTACTTCTAATCTGAGATCTGTAAAAAGTATTTTTTGATTTTTGTTCAACTCATTATCTTCCAGTTTGGCAAAACTTCGGCAATTAAGGTAGAAAAGTATGTTGTTACATTGTACACCACAGTTTCTCCAGCAGCCAAAATTGCTCCGAATGAACCATATGTACCGTAATCTATAATACTGTGATTACATGCTGATAAAACTGCCAGGTCTTTGCCGGGACCTCTTGCGTCCATATCGGACACAAATTTGATTCTATGTCTTTTACTATGTAAATTATACTTGCACCAAACTATGTTATCGCTAGTTACTACAAAAATTACATTATTATACTTGCCAACAAAGTAATCCATTGCCGTAAAGTAATAGCTCACAGGGGCAGGTCTAATTTTCAATTTTTGCCACAAATAGTCTACATAATCTGTCCTTCTTACATGTATGCTAACAAATGTTGGTTTAGGCAAGTTAAATTCTTCAGCTATTTCCTTCAATACCCTTTCCGCGTAAATTCTCAAGTTTGGCTTAAATGTAAATTCTCTTCGTACATCATCCAACCCCTCCAAAATGAGAGACCAATAAGCTGCATGCCTAAAATAGAAGTGTTAAAATAGGAAGAATTAAATTTAGTAAGTAGATGGAACCAAGTAATAATTTACCTTGGTATAATAATGTTCTGTTCTGTACTATTCCACTGTCCAAGAGAATTAACAACTTGACTAACATCTAGACTGCACCTTCCAATGTAACTAAGTGGAGGAATACTAAGATTTTCAAAGTATTCCTCCAAAGTTTTTAATATACAGCGTGGCACGAACGGTTCCAAACCAGTTCTTCTTGCTGTGGCCCATACAGAGGCATATTCCCAAATTTGGTTGCCAAGTCTGCCACCTTGGACTGCGGAAACTATTCCATACTTTGGACATGGGTTTCTCCACTCTGGTGGTATTCTGATATTCTTTAATGTGGTGCGACAAAGCGCTTGTTCATAGGTTGAGATCTTTATGTGGCGAGCTGGTGGGTTGGATGTGTACATGGGAAACAGGAAGACATGGATGCCGAAGACCACTATCAGAGCAAGAACTATTGCACTTGCAAGTACATGCTGCTGAGCGTGACTCATTATCCTTACTTGCTCCTGTAGGGTGCTGTCACTACGTACCAATCAATTCTTTTTTTCTATCCTCTGTACTACAGTTCTCTGCTTATTATTCTCTACTCTTCAACTTCCACTAGTCCGGCATTTCGTATCTACAGGTGTGCCATGTCCTTTGTTTTCCGACGTACATCTTTACAATGATAATATCATTTATAGTGAATAGTACATAATTTCTGTTTATAAATGATAGTAGGACAGGGGCTGTGTAATCAATGTGACAATAGAAAGAGTTGAGAAAAAGTTTGCTGGAAATTTCTATGAATTTCATGTTAAAACAGCTAATGATACGCGCAAGTAGTATGTGCAAGTATTGGTCAGACAATGGAAAGGACATGGCCTAGTACTATTACTCGTTTTAAAAGCTACTAATTTAGCAAGGTTTTATTGTACAAAGCACGGTACGCGTGAATCAAAGTTTGCAATCGTTTATTTCAAATCTAATCAAATTATATTACAACGTCATGTAGGAAATTATGTTACAGGTATGGTTAACAGGTGGTGAGCTTCAGGTGTTACATGAACTTAGACATGTATATACAAAAAATATATCATCGTCTATTCCGCTAGAAGTAGCACGGTAAAAATATGCAGAAAACGCAAAAGAGTAGAAAATTAGTTACTTACTTTAGTGTAGGAGAAAAAAATGAATCGTTAGGGACACGACTGTCGAAACAGAAACAATTTTGTGCGGTTTCGTGGGATGAATGCAATTTAATTCTGTTCGACGTTCGAACCGAAAAATTGTTCACAAAAGAAAAAAAAGAAACAACGATAATTAAATACTTACCCGTTCCAATGAAATATTCGCATTGCACTCGAAACCCGTTATTAGTCACGGGGCTCGTGTCGATCTGTCCGTAATTTCCGCCACTCATGTTTTCCCGGTGAAATCGATGCGTGTCTCGTGTATCGACGCTTGTTGCGTTTCCATGAGATATTTTATATCTTTCAATCGATTTTTTCTTTACCGGCACAAATAATTACTGTATAAAACTCATTTTATTTATCACGATATTCGTTCGAATATGATTTCTCTCCCAAACGGAACCACTTCGGCAAGCTGTTGAACAATAAATGACACTCAGGTCGAACTTGCATCCTTGGGATGGGGGATGTTGTCCCGACCGATGACGTCATGGAGAACCGTCACCCCTGGATGGTTTGATATATAGATTTTTAATTTCTTTTGGCGCCTACTTGACTAGGACCTTGGAATAATATAAAAACTATTTATAGATATTAAAAGTAATTGTTCACACCACCATGACTACTCAAAATGAACTAAAATGAGTATTTTATTCTGATTCCTTATTCTCATTGATTGAATATTGTAGCATAATTATCAATATATACGTAACGAAAACTAGATAGTTATTGGAGTCTAATTATTCGTTAAATTTTCTGTTTTAATATCATATGTTAAAGATCTGAGTTGATTATGAGTGTTTGCATTTAATATTTATTCTCTTTGAAGATATTATTACAGAAATTATAATGAGTGCCATCTATGATAAAACGACCAAGCTGTTAACCACACCTCGTTTGTGGCAGAAGGTAATTTTCTATCTATTGTTCTAAAATACCGACAGTACATTGAACGGTCAACTACTGAACTAAATAAAACTCCAACGTTACAGGCGTGCGGCTTACGAGACTGACTTCTGTAGCGTTGTTTTATAGCATGGTAAAATAAATTACAATTGATAATGAAAATGTTTTAGCCAAAAAACTGATTGACTGTTCTAAAACTAGGTTTCTAAATCATGTGAATTTCTTTTAGTTATATTCAAGAAAGTATCGTATTCTTCGTATCCGTTACACACTCAAGTAGGTAATATATTTCCACATGATATATTTAAGTAATCAAATAAACACGAATTCGATTTAATATTTAATAGTGTCACTCTAATAACGAATTAATGATTCAAGATTGGCATTTAATATGAGCAGTGAACAGTGTACAAAAAAAATAAAGCTAGAAAATACAACAATAAAGGAAGGAGAAGCAGAAATCTTACTGAGTAATACAAATGTATTTTATAATCCTGTGCAAGAATTTAACAGAGATCTTAGTATAGCAGTACTAAAGATCTATGCCAAGGCAAGAAGTGAAGAAGTATCGAAAAAGGGTGTTCCAAAAAAAGATGGAATAACCATTTTAGAAGCTCTATCAGCAACAGGTTTGCGTAGCATTCGCTATGCTAAAGAAGTACAGGGTATAAAGCAAATTGTGGCTAACGATATCTCTATAAAGGCTGTAGAAAGTATTAAAAAAAATGTGAAACACAATGAGGTAGAGAATCTAATAAGCCCTAGTCATCAAGATGCAACGTTGTTGATGTATCAATACAGAAAAGAACAATTCGATGTTATAGACCTAGATCCATATGGATGTCCTACAATATTTTTAGATGGGGCAGTCCAATGTGTATCTGATGGTGGAATGCTCATGGTTACAGCCACAGACATGGCTGTGTTGGCAGGAAATTCACCTGAAACTTGCTACCTAAAATATGGAGCTATTTCCTTAAAATCTAAAGCTTGTCATGAAATGGCATTACGTATTTTGTTGCAAACTATTGCCTCGCATGCAGCTCGCTATGGAAGATACATAGTACCAGTCCTGTCTATTAGTGTTGACTTTTACATCAGAGTATTTGTAAAAATATTCTCCAGTCAAATTAAATGCAAGGATAATGCTACTAAAATAGGAATGGTATATCAATGTACAGGCTGTGAAAGCCTGAATACTCAATCATTATGTTATAAAAAGCCATCTGGATCTTATAAAATATTATCATCACCATGCGTGGATCAACTTTGCGAAGTTTGTAAGCATAAACAGTATGCTGGAGGGCCTATATGGCTGGATGCCTTACATGATCAAACATTTATCTCTGAACTGTTATGTAATTTACAAGTAATGAAGTTGGGAACCTTGAAAAGAATAGAAGGAGTACTAAATGTTATTCACGAAGAGTTAGACACTCCCTTATACTATACATTAGATCGTTTAATGTCTATAATTAGATGTCACACACCATCAATATTAATGTTTAGATCCGCATTGTTAAATGCAGGGTATAAGGTATCATATTCGCATGCAAACAAAATATCGATAAAAACGGATGCACCGCATCAAGTAATATGGGATATCGTTCGTACATGGGAAAAGGACCACCCTATAAAACGAGACAAATTACCAAGCGACAGTCCTGCGTTATGTATATTGAATACACCAATTACTACTAATGTTTCATTCGATATACATCCTTTAGCTAATCCAGCTTCTAGACAGAAACATTTGACTCGTTTCCAACATAATCCTACTATCTGTTGGGGACCCGGTACTCGTGCGAAAACAATAGTTGATTTAGAAACTAAAGTGAAAGATGAGAAGAGGATAAAGAATCAAAATAAGAACGCTAAAAAAGAAAAACTACAAACTACAAATAATAGTGAAGACATGCAAACAGACAAAATAAATTAAAAAATTCCTACCGACAGTCTAAGCAGATCTATTTTTATATATTTAGATTATGAAAATATTTGTAATCGATAAAATTGTATTTATCTATCTGATCATTAAATCCTAAATTGTACAAAATTGTAATCGCATTATTTGTAACATTTATACAATTGTAAATATCAATATATTTTGTATATTTAAAAGTTACTGTTTAACATTTCCATATATATTGGGCAACACGTATAAATTAACTACACAGTAATATCACGGACTCTAATAGATTAAATTACTAATACTATGATGTTAATGATAACAACTAGATACTGCTATAATCTGATATAAATTGTTGATCAATACTTCTCACTGCTCATTCATATAACATTTTTTAATAACGACGTAATAACGGTTGAAAGTAATGAAACTGGCGCAACAAGTGGGGGGACATTCGCTCGTGAGGTTTATATATTCACGTAACGACAGAATCGTACGCATACGTGTTTCAGAAACATCTAAGCGAATACTGATTATCGTATAAATTATAACGATGGCTGCACCAACGGTTACTTTAAACAACGGACAAAAAATGCCCGTATTAGGGCTTGGCACCTGGCAAGGAGCAGTAAGTAGTTACATAATAATGTTACAGAAATATCTTTATTCTTAATAATCATACTTCCATTTGAAGGACGAACCTAAAGTTGTTCAGCAAGCCATACGTGATGCAGTGGATGCCGGATACCGGCATTTCGACTGTGCTTTCATTTATGGAAACGAGAAGGAAATTGGAAAAGCTCTTCGCGAGAAAATTGAAGAAGGAGTCGTGAAGAGAGAAGACCTGTTTATCACAACAAAGGTATATAATTAGGTGTATGGAGAATAAGCGTTGACAGACCATTTCGATAAAATTTTATCATTACTCGTAAGTCATAGTGCTTAGTTATCTGTACACAAGTTATTTTAAAACTTGTTTCTCTTATCAAGAATTATATCATGCCGAAAGTAATTTGAACGATCTTTTGGATAACGCTCAACCGAATCATTTTATTTCATTGTGCAAAATATACATAGCATGCTATAAGTATGTAAAATCTACTATCTATAAATAATTGTTTTAGGTAACAGTTCTTACTAAACATTTAAACAGTTAGATTATTTTATTTGCAGTTATGGAATACATTTCACAAAAAGGAGGAAGTTGTACCAGCCTGCAAACAGTCTTTGAAAAATTTTGGTCTTGATTATGTGGACCTCTACCTAGTTCACTGGCCTATGGCATTTTCTGTAAGATTTAAGAAACATTCCAAAGTGACTTTAAAAGACCATGATCACTATGTACCTACATTTATACCTATGTCTATACATTTTAGGGATTCGGAAAAGATATATGGCCAATAGATGAACATGGAAATCCCATGTGTGGAGATGAAGATTATTTAGACACTTGGCGTGGTATGGAAGAATGCGTGAAATTAGGGCTAACGAAAAGTATCGGTCTCAGCAATTTCAATTCTCAGCAAATCGAACGCGTTTTATCGGTGGCCGAAATTAAACCGGTTATGAACCAAATTGAATGTCATCCAAATTTGAACCAGAAAAAATTACGAAAGTTCTGCGCTGAACGTGGTATAGCTGTTACCGCTTATAGCCCGTTTGGCTCACCAAAGCGAAGCTGGGTAAAACCCGGTGATCCTCAAGTCACGATAGACGCGCCGGAATTACTTAAACTCGGCAAGAAGTATGGGAAATCACCCGCCCAAATCATTTTGAGATATTTGGTAAATTCGATTGCAATATTTGATAATTCATTCTGAGTGACATGAGATTCATTGAACATGTTTCTTATTGCAGGTTGATATTGATACAATTCCTATACCAAAATCCAAATCAAAAGATCGTATTAAGCAAAATATTGATATCTTTGACTTTAAATTGACACCAGAGGAAGTTGCATTGCTAGATACGCTTGATAATGGAACTCGAATATGCCCTTGCATACAGTAAGTTTTATTATTTAATTAAGGTTCTGTCATTCCTCAAGTTTGAATATAAATTTTTTTTTTGTTTAGATTCAAGGACCACAAAGATTATCCATTCAATATAGAGTTCTAAGAAGTTCAGCTGATAACTGAATTCAAAAGTATTTTCATTTGGAAATTTCATCAACCATGTGATATTTGTTTGCATTATCATATTTTTATGCTTGTAACCATTATATTGGTCCATAAATATTTTTATTTTATACAAATGAGATTGTCCTGAGACATCATCAAGTTCATTTCAGTTTCCTCCGTTTCCCATTTTAATTTATTAATATTTGCAAGATAGTGTCAATTGCACCTTGCTTTCGCATTTGTTTTTGCGAACATGATTATTCACTTAGATAACTGTATTGGATGGTTGTACGATGTCGATGTATTATTAACGTTAGTAGAATTTCTAATCTTGACCGTTAAATATTATACGTATCTTTCCATCTGTTATGTAATGTTTATCTACGATGAGTGGTAAAAACGGAGGTAACGCGCTTGCCTTGCGTAGTCGCTTACATACCAAACTATTCCGCATTGTTCACGAGAAGAGCCTACATCTTAAAGTAGAACAGAAGTATAAAATAGTCTGTGAATAGAAAATAGGTTAGTTCTTTTCTAAACGTCTAAACGCTCTTCTGGCTTAATCTATTCTTTCATAATGACACAAATACCCAATCACCTCACGTTTCTCAATGGACAGAAAATGCCAATTGTTGGCCTGGGCACATATCAGGTAAATATTAATATACAATTCATTCACCGTATAACGCAATATTAATTAAATATTGCTTATCAAAGAAGTCGAAGAAAATATTGACTATTCTCCTGAGAGGAATCATTCTGAAGTCCCCTCCATTATGAAAATTTTCTAAACCTGTAACACGTGGTACATAGCGCACGCAATTCGAATGTTCCTGAACTGAGAATGCGTAATACCCTAAAAATATTAATTAAACTTGAAAATTTATAACGCAATGAATTATTATCCATTAGTCCCGTGCAGGGGAAGTGGAAAGGGCCGTGATGGAGGCGATAACTGTTGGTTACCGTCACATTGACACGGCGTTTTTTTACCAAAATGAAATTGAAATTGGCAGAGCAATTCAAGCAAAAATCAAGGACGGTACCGTGAAGAGAGAAGATCTGTTCATCACAACCAAGGTAATATTATTATAATACAAAATATAATATCAAAATGTACGATAATGAATTAATCATGAAATCATTCCACGAGTAAATTTATGTATAACTTCTTCAGCTCTGGAACAATTTCCATAAAGAAGAAAGCGTGGTACCAGCATGTAAGAAGTCCTTGGAGAACCTTGGACTGAGTTACGTCGACTTATACTTGGTTCACTGGCCGTTCGCGTTCGCGGTAAGTTATTCAGATTACTTTCACAAATGATATGCAAATAATAATTGACCACCCGTTAGGAAGGCGGTGATTTAACGCCTCGGGATGCCAATGGTGCTCTCTTACTGACAGACACCGATTACTTGGAGACATGGAGAGGAATGGAAGAATGCCTGAAGTTAGGACTCACAAAGAGTATAGGTGTCAGTAACTTCAGCATCGAACAGCTGACTCGTTTGCTCGAGGCGTCTAAGACTATGCCTGTGAATAATCAGGTAATCATTAATCGCTCTGTTCAAAGAGATGCGTCAACCGGTTCCTAACTAAATGAATTTTATTAATGTGCAGATCGAAGTCAACGTGAACTTGAATCAAAAGCCGTTAATCGAGTTCTGCGCGAAACACAAGATCACGGTGACCGCGTTTTCGCCGTTGAGTCAACCGGGAAACAAGCACGGTATATCAAACAACCTGGACCATCCGAAAATCGTCGAGCTCTCGCAGAAATACAAGAAAACCCCGGCACAAATAGCTCTGCGTTACGTGGTGAGTAATTACACAGAGCGTTCCTTTATCGAGCCTTTTTTACCATATATTCTGCTGATACACCTGACAGATAATTTAATGACATATCTTAGCGAATGTGAATAATAACTATTAGCAGTATCATGTGAAAGATAACGGCCGTTCGAAATTACTCAATCAAGGCATTGAAACGATTAACCCAGAGAATTAGAAGCACGTTATCGATACGTGAATCGTGGACTTTGTTTTTAACAATATCGGCTATAGACAAAGAAGCGTTTTCTGATGACTCTAATCTTGCAATGCGAAATCTGATTTTGACTTTCCGTGGGACATTTTCTAGGCGCAACAAGGTGTAGCGATCATCCCGAAAACGGTAACACCTAGTCGTCTGAAGGAGAACATAGACATATTCGATTTTTCCCTCACTGCTGAAGAAATGGCGGCCATTGCGACTATCGCGAGTGGAGCCCGTATTTCAAGTTTCCACGAGTAAATATCACAAATATACGAATTAATTCTTATTCACTCTCACGCGCATCGATTAACATTGAATTTCCAATCTGTTTTCCAGCGCTATAGGTCACAAGTACTATCCATTTTGAAAGTAAACGTTCCCCGACGACGACGTGTTGCGCCAGCAGGAAACAGCCTGTCAGATTCAGCACGGAATTAATAGTGAGGCATACCCTCTTTGAACTTACATAATCTCACGCTGTAATTCGGCACCCGTTTGACCCTCATCCAGTCAATTAGGTTTATTGACCGCCATGGAAAATTTCGATGGCTCGTTTCGAATGATACACCGGCCGCAAACGGCACAGAACCGGGCCACCATGTAACAAGACGAAATATGTAAATAAAATATTTGTTTGACATCGCATCGATAGACAACAGACTCTGTTAATGAAATAATAGAATGCATAGCGTTTCACATTTCACGGTATGATTTCGTTTCTAGCCGGACCGCGAATATTTATATAACGTTAAAAATAATTTGTCAAAGTTACCGTCAAATTTTCCAAATTATCCATTGCATTGTACGCGATACAGGAACTCTTCCATTAGCTGTAACTTTCTTCGAGTTCATTTTTAGCATTGACACCTGTTAGAACCGATGGCAAGAATCAATCGATATTCTAACGCGTATTGGAAGCTATATAGGCAAACTCACGTTCCGAGAACCGATCGTAACATCATGTTCCAAGATTGGTTGAAATGCGGCAGTGGAAACACAATTAACGAAGTGAAGCAGAACCGAAGGTCACTGGCACGCTGCAGCCACATCTAACCGCACCTCGTGTGTCAACCCTGAAAGTACATTGAAAGCACTGAACATTCTATATAACGTTGAATACGGCACAGCAAAAATAAAATATATTTTCCTAATGATCAGCACTTACCTTTAACTGTACAGTTTTGTCATTCGATCTTCCCTGCCTTTTGTAGGAAAGTATACTTTCAACAGATTAATAGAAACGCGATAATTAGACTATGGATTTTTATGCGAATTACCGCTTCTATAAATTAGTAGCGTCTCCAACCTGTTAGAAGTAATTTTACGCACAGGGAGCATGATTTATTGCCATAGCGAGTTCAAGGTTAGTCTACTTCAAGTTCAACGGATTGGAAAGATGTGGGCGAGGATCCTTTTTCAAGTGATTTGCTCAACGAGCGAAATTACCTCCTCCTATATCCGCTCCCCGCGTGCGGGATGGAATTTTTCGCTGTACCGGCCCGTTGCCGGTACTTTCCATCGTGCTCGTCCTCCCCAGCGTCATGAGGCGCAATATTTATCACCGTGAACGCGAGAATGCACGCCACCGTGAATGAGAACCGCAACCGCTGAAGATCATAAAAAAACGAGTATCTAAAATCTAGTCGTAAAAGGAGTATATTGGGCCAGACGTTTCCGCAAATTTACAGGCAGTAAAGCAATAAATCTACAGAAATTTATGACCAGTCGAAACGCGGTTTTGTAAAGCAGCAAATAGAATACCTAATCGTTCAAGTTCGTTAACACAAAATTCGGGATTAAACGGTTAGTGGGCGATTAAGGGCGACAGGGGAATTTTACTGAAATGATTCTAGGCATTCCGTCTGTCGTGTGACCGCGTATAAGTCATGACCGCGAATTTCCTGGGTAACCTGCGGTGTTTAGTAAATAATTCAACAACGACCTTTACGAGCGCGCACAGTACGGCAAAAGCGGTGGTTGGAAGTGCTCGTTATCGTGTTCCAGATATTCGCAATAAATTTCGCAGCGGAGGTATCGATCGTGCCATGAATCACATAGCTCGGACGTGAGTACCGTGAAATTACCAGACGGCAATGCAAATAGATTCGGTCGCTGAGTACACTTAGGAGATAACTTGATATCTAGCGGAACGGCGCAGGGGCAGGAGGTGTTTCATTCACAGTTTTATAGTTTCGATTGGTTTCACGTGACCGTATTAACGAGTAGTAAATCAATTAAGGATAATATTAAGAATTAGGAAATAAAACCAACGGAAAGTTAGCCGAGAAAAAAAACTGTGAACCGATCTGCCGAATTCCTCAGCCATCGAGCGATCTCCTAGCAGTGTAAACATGATTCAAACAATTCAATTCCGACTCGTTGCTATGTTCGCGATGATCGAGAAGCTGCTTTTGAATCCTGTCACACAGAGGACGAACGTTGCCGACCAATTCCAGATTCGACCCGAAACCGGATCCCCGTACGCCGACTTGCGAGAGACTCATCCCCGGTCGATCTTGCAATCAATCTCCAACGACGACCCTTTGCGGATCATGGAAGTCTAAGATGCTCGCAGAGGTGATGGAATGCAAGGACGCGATAAAGAGCAAAGCCTCGAGGTGGGGGTCGAAACTGTTCGCAGGTTCGAGGTTGACGACTCCAGTGTCCAGTATTCCGGATATCGTCACGTTCAGCGTGATCGCGAAGGAAGAAGTCTTGATAGGGTTCTCCCCGCGCGACACGTCGGAAACGCAGAAGAAGAACACGCTTGCGAAGCCTAGAGACGAGTCTAATCCGACGAACGGCTTGGTCAATCGGTTCCTGGACAAACACTCGACGAACGGGACACCGAGGCTGTTCCTGGAGCATGAGAAGAGCGAGCTTCCGGAGGAAGGTGTGACCGAATCGGCAGTCAAGAGGAAGATCTCGGTGCACCCACTGCTTCTCCGCTACTCGGAGGACACCGACGAGTTCGATTGGTTCAACGACACGGACGACAGTTTCTCCAGCAAGCTTTGGGACTCCCCGGAATGCTCGAACGTGTCCGATATCGTGTTCGATGATCCGCAGAACAACTCCACGTTCCGCAAATCGCTTTACGAGTCGAAGAAAAGCGAGTTCTCGGCCGTTCGTCTAGACTCCGGCTGGGAAAGTAATTTCTCGATATAGATCTGTTCTACTGTTACTCTATTCTAGGTACTAGTTACGTATCGATCGTTTTTGTTTGTTTTACTGTGCGGTCGGGAGTAGCCGAGGCGAATGAAGCTCTCTTTATGCTGCTTGATTCACTCTTTCATATGATACCGAGCCACCGTAGGGCGTTTCAATAGTTTCATTTGCTCAAATGCCGGAGAGTATTGGAAAACTTGGACGAACACCGTTGAAACTGCACCCCGCTTTTGATACTCTTGAAAATAAATATATTGTATTATATTTGTGAGTGAATGGCTGTAACGTGTATGGAGGTAATTATGGAAAAGATTACCTTGGTTGGAATAGCTAGTATTAAGAGGAAAGTAGATTGTAAAAAGTGTCCAACATAATCGTGAACAAATAGATCTAACGAAAATTGAACTGTTTAAATTAATATCACCCTACGCGCGGATCTAGATCCAATTCAAATCGAATCCTTGATAGAGTAGCAGTTCTCATTAAATAAAGCGTTATCGCTCCATGCTAATCGAGAATATTTTTTTCTCTTTGAACGCGATTCCACCGGCGGAAAATAAATAAAAATATTTTGGAAAGTATGTCAAAGTGTCAGTGGGACAACGGCCGCGTTTGAAACTAAAGATCTAGAATCCTCCTGGTAGTAAAAAGTATACAGCAAGTATTGGCTACTGCTGGGATTAATTGCAGTGCAAAAGATCTGGGATATTTAAAATATAAAATAGAAATGTTAGTAAAATCTAATAAGGATACGAGTTGCTTGATGTACAGCGATACTCTGCGAGAAATAAACCTATTTTCTGTTTTACTGACGCTTTCTCTAACCGAACCATCAAGAGGACCTCTTCCTTTGCCACTTCCTTGGTCACTACATCTTGGAACCAATAATAGACACCTTGAACAAAGAGAACAATAGCAATAAACAATGCAGGGAGCATAGATTTTCTTTAAGAAATTTAGGAGAAAGAAATAGAATTTTCTTGGAAGATTTAAATATCGTCAAGTTTTGAATTTTCTGGAAAGTGAGCGTGTCTCACCACTTCTGCTTCGAGGACAGCGCGTCGAACGACTGGCCGTCCTATAAAAAAAAGCCTATCACGGTACCTAGAAACATTATTAACAGTCATTACCAAGAAAAAATGATTAAGAACTGAAACGATTCCATAAAAGATTTTACTTTGAATGAAACCCTGGAACAGCTTTTTATAGGAGACCATTGTAATAGGATTCTCATCTTAGGCTCCTGAAAGATACGTAGAAATCAATTCATGAAATAGTAGCGTGAACATTATTGTTGATATTAATAAGTCGGAAGAATCGTTAACGCTTATCGTTGCTTTTTTCTCTGATATTTTTCAGATTTCATGTTCTATTAAAATGGAGATGATTATATACCTTGATTTCGTAAACTTTTGCTCCATTGAAATAGACATTCTCAGAATTTCTCGAGTGCTCCCTTTCGTTTTAATTTAAAAATTAGGAAATCGTATTTGCACACGATATTGTACGCCGCTCTGTTCATTCCTATCGCGACATTACGTAATTATCGGCGATCTTATCCGAAAGAAAAGTACTTCTATAATTGATAAAAATCTTACATGTCTCAAAGTTTCTTATATTCTAACGTAACGTGGCGTAACAGTAACTCTTATAGAATCGTTTAATTTAACGCTTAAATGCACTTCTGTAATTTCCATTTGGAATTATGATTCACTACATAAATAATTTCCTCCGACGACTCAGTAGTTCCAGTATTAAATGTATATTCTTACATCCGGATATTTTATACCTTTCCAATTAATTAAACGCATTTAACTCTGTCAATTAAACCTCATTTAAAAACTACCCTTGACAATGCTAATCGATAAAAAATCCTTCTCGTTGTCTCTCTATGACTCGATTACTTAATCCTGTTACGCTGCAACAATGCTGTATCAGGACAGTTTATCTGACTTTGTATGTTGAAATGGAAGAATGTCGAGTGGGATGTTATATTTTTTGTCGTGATTAGATAATTCTCGAAAGACACGCAAATCCGCGAACTTTATTATAATAATTATTGCAACGTCTTCGCTGCCACGGTCCTAATCAAACGCTATAGGATTCTATGACATTTTTGAAGGCGTGTCAACAATTTGAAAATCATCTTTTATTACCATCATTTTATGTATTAGTTTCATTTTCTTTTCTCGCTTTTGTTATCTTAAAGTTCCGTGAAATTAGGCTTGTACCAGTTTATTTGATCAAAATAAATTAAATATTCATTTTAAAGGACGAAGAAGGGAATTTCGAGAATCATGACCCTTCGTTGAGACTACTACCGGTAGCGATCCGTTTGTCACGATGGGAATGGCATTGTTATGCTTGGTATAGTAGTCCATTCATTGTTGACGATCAAGGGATTCTGTCCTTTGCCCGTTTAACGGACTCCGTAATTTTCCATAGGGCTCCTTTCTTCGTACAGCGAATTTACCCGTTGCTACGGACACAAAGAAATCTTTGTATTAGAAACATAGAAGTTATTATGCAAGATTGCACACATCATAGTTTGATCGCGCAAGCGCTCGATTGATACAGGGCTGTAAGCTATTTAAAGTTTCAAAGGCTCCCTATCGTCACTCGTATCTTATTGTTACTTCCTTGTTTCTCGCGTTTAATTTTCTTTCCTTCACACACCAAATTTCAATTTATAAAATCAAACGCAATCATGAAATGTTTCCTCGAAGAACATACTTTAAGTAACATGATGTTATTCTTGATAGTGTAATCTTGAAAAATGGTTGTTAGAATCGAAGATTACACGAGTCTTAAAAATATTATCATATAAAATCGAAAGTATTGAATCCTAGCATCAGTTTTGTGTATTTTTTTAAAATACAAAGTCTCTTATCGACTTGGAGTGCAATACATAGATAGAATAGTAAGAATTTAAAAAAAAAAGTGGCGTCAAAGATGGTAATTAAAAAATAGAATGTAACGGTTTATATAATTGAATTTTGAATGGTATTCCATACATTCAAAGTGGCGTATTTATATCCTATGATATGAATTAATGCCTTTGTTCGAGAAGTGAGAAATATTTGTAATGTTTAAAAATATTTTCGTGGAATACAAATGTTGTTTTTTCTCTGTAGCGAGGCATGTAAGCATGCAGATATTGATACAGAAACGTAACGATAGAAATTATCTGCATGTAATTGTGAACGAATTCTGAAAAAGATCACGTCTGGTTGCTTGATGTACGGGTATGGCATTCGAAGGACTGGGGAGATGGATCGTTCCGGGGGCATTTATAAAAGCGGGTTCCTAGGTAAATTTACCGGCATAGTACTCAGAGTTGTGGCGGTCGACGGTGTGTTGGACATAGAAAAGTGTTACAACTGTGTTAAAATAATTTTGCCATTTCAGTAATAAAATCCGAAATATTGTCAAAATGACTTTAAACGTACCAATGATGAAATTCTATAACGGCAACGAGGTGCCAGCTTTCGGTTTGGGCACATGGAAAGTGAGTAATCAATTTTCCTGAACATCCTTATGTTCTTCAAAACTAAGAAACATCAAATTTATTTGTCTAACGTACTATTTCAAATATGATTACGTACCTATTCATTTATTTCGTTTATAATTCCAATTTTGTATTTTTCTAGCGGCTTAAAGGTTTGTAATAATGTTCCATTTAAGTCGAAATATGGATTCTGGTACATTCGAATTTAGTAGAAGTCAAACGTGATTGTATTTAGAACATGTTTGCTTGCTATGATCATTAGCGTAACAAGGTCGTTTCAGTGTCATAGGTTCTCTGATCATCATCTGTTGTGGTATTTTTTATACGTATATGATTAACTGATATATTAACGTTTGAAACATTATAATTTGAGAATCTATTGCTTCCTAATGAGTCATGATGCTCGCGGATTAACGTTTGATAATATTTTATATTACAATCTTATATAATTCTGAAGGAATTTTTACTGATCACTTTGAGTCAATAGTGATAAAAGATACATATGTTAAATCGTATAATATGAAATGTCGGTTTTTCTTACTCGTGAATGTTTGTGAGTACTCCTGTTGTTGTTATTCCCTTGTTTTTCATATAACCGCGATCACGCTTCTCTCGTTTCATTTTTCCATTTCTAAGCAGGCGATAACAAAATTAAAAACAAATAATTAGAAGGAAAACGAATATATAAACTTCATTTGATTCTACTAACCGGTAGGATGGCACTTTCAGGAAGTATATCTGAGAAGCGTGATCTCGCCGCTTGGCACTAAAATGATTAAAATTTTGTTACTGATTATCAGAGTAAAATATGGATACCGCCAAAATTCATATAAGTTTTCTTGTGTAAATTCAAACGTTGGGGACAATGCTGCGAATGAAAGAAGAGTTCAGCGTTGATCTGCGAAATTTTTTTCGGTGATATTTCTTTGCAAAATAAGCCACGTGGTAGACCTGAAACAATAGTTTATAACGATGTTTTTAAAATTTATTAATTCTAAACATTCAGAATTTTTCAAAAAAGGTATATATTCATCGAAAATACGTTGCCAGAAGTGTATCGAATCGAACAGAGCATATTTTGATTGAATAAACGTCTTTTAAAATATCAAATAAGATTTCTTTTTTTCCGCAAAATTCGACATTCCATATTACACGACTTAATGATAAGCAATATAAAATGAATAAAAATGATATATATCAAAGAAATTATTATTAATATTCATGTTTTATTATAGTCCAAACCCGGCGAAGTCACTCAAGCAGTTAAAGATGCCATTGATTTGGGATATCGTCATATTGATTGCGCCCATGTGTACGGAAATGAAAAAGAAGTTGGTGCTGCCCTTCAAGCTAAAATCGCTGAAGGTGTCGTGAAAAGGCAGGACCTTTTTATCACGAGCAAATTATGGAATACCTTCCACAAACCAAACTTGGTTGAACCAGCCATCAAAAAGACTTTGTCCAATCTGGGTTTGGAATATTTAGATCTATACCTGATTCATTGGCCAATGGCATATAAAGAGGGCGATGATCTTTTCCCAAAGAATGCTGATGACAGTATTGCCTTAACAAATGATGACTATTTAGACACATGGAAGGCCATGGAAAGTTTAGTAACTAAGGGACTCACAAAAAATATTGGTGTTAGTAATTTCAACTCTGAACAAATAGAGAGGCTATTGAAAAATACTACCGTCAAACCAGTTACAAATCAAGTAAGTATTAATTTTCCTTAAAATTCACAATTGTTTTTAATGAATATACTTCTATAATGTGCATCTCTTTACAGATTGAATGTCATCCATATTTAATTCAGAAAAAGCTTTCTGAATTCTGCAAGGAAAAAGGTATTCTTATTACAGCATACAGTCCACTTGGATCTCCTGATAGGCCATGGGCTAAACCTGATGATCCGAAACTGTTGGAGGACAAAAAGTTGGGTGAACTGGCAAAGAAGTATAATAAAACACCTGCACAAGTTTTAATCAGATACCAGGTACACACGACACATACATTTTTTGAATAAGAATATGCGTACATAAATATGTATATACTAAATTGTTAGAATTTATAATATTTACGAAAATCTATTGTAGTTGGACCGTGGGCACATTGTGATTCCCAAGTCAGTTACGAAATCGCGAATTGCACAGAATAGCGAGGTCTTCGACTTCAAACTCAGCCCAGAAGATATTGCATATATTGATACCTTTGATTGTAATGGCAGAATCTGCCCAATGTTTGGGTAAATATAGTTTACTCCTCATAAGTTTTACTTCTTACTCGTTACTATTTGAACTAACGTTTTCACGATAAAATTTATTCCTGTTTCAGCACGGAGTCAAGCCCCCATTACCCCTTCAATATTCCTTTCTAAGAAAAAAATTTAGTTGAAAGAAACATCCAGTTACACAAATTGGTATTATTGCAAAATTTGAAATGTATGCCTGTCTGCTAATTTTTTACGTGAATGTTCATATAAAATAAATTTTGTTGAAATATATACACGTGTGTATTTTTTTTTCATTTTACTAAAGTCCTTCATAAAGAAATACAAAGTTATATAAGTAATATAAGATATCTGAAATACAAGATAAGAAACAAAGACTGAACATAAAAAGTTTGTAATGTAAACAGTTGCTATCTTTTACAGTGATTACGTAATCATTATTCAAAACTATTATCAGTTAGGAAAACAGTATAAATTGTAGTGGACAAATGACCTGTCTTCAGTTCTTTGAGGAGTGTACTTCAACATGGCGCAACAAGTTATAGCCTTTTACAATGGTTTTAAATATCCTATATTGGGTTTGGGCACTTGGAAGGTTGGTTTCATTATATTATAGTAAAATTTTTTAAAGGTATTAAGCGCTCCTTAATTTAATATGTAGGATAACCTAACTTTGAATAACTAAGTTGTACTATTAAATTTTTACATAATAAATGTAAACTCAGTGAAATTTTTTTTATAACAAAAGCATATTTAAAATTGTATAATTTTATACATTTCATTTTGTAAAATTCGAATATCCTTAGAAACTTTTGTCGCTATTAATTAATATTTATATTAATTTACTCTATGAAATAGTCTACACCTGATCAAGTAACCCAAGCTGTAAAAGATGCTATTGATATTGGATACCGTCATTTTGACTGTGCTGCGATATATCGGAACGAAAAAAATGTAGGGAAGGGAATCGCGGCGAAAATTAAGGAAGGTGTTATCAAACGCGAGGATATTTTCGTAACTAGTAAATTATGGAATACAAAACACCGACCTGAACAAGTTGAACCTGCCTTGAGAAAGACCTTGAATGATCTTGGTCTTGAAACACTTGATCTTTATTTGATGCATTCACCAATGGCTTTCAAAGGTACTTTCATTTCGTTAAGAAAAGTACTAACGCCTATATCTACAATAAAAAAATTATACTAATCTCTGTTATAGATACTGGTGATCTTGATGATATTTTCCCACAAGATGCCGATGGTAATATACTCACTGAAGATACAGATTATTTAGATACATGGCATGCCATGGAACATCTGGTAAAGAAGGGCCTTGTGAAGAATATCGGTGTTAGTAATTTTAATTCTGAGCAGATTGAACGACTCATAAAAAACAGTGAAACAAAACCAGTGACAAATCAAGTGGAATGCCATCCTTATTTAAACCAGATAAAACTTACTGAATTCTGTAAGACCAGGGGTATCACGATCACTGCTTATAGTTCTTTTGGTGCACCAGATAGGCCAGATGTTTCCCCTGATGAACCACGAGTTTTGGAAGACCCTACAATCAAAGAACTTGCTGATAAATATAAAAAATCTCCTGCACAGATTATATTGCGACATCAGGTACATATTTCAGAATCTATAACTTCGAAAATTATATTCTCAATATAAACTGTAACTTGAAAATTTATTAACAGATACAACTTGAACACATAGTGATTCCCAAGTCAGTTACGAAATCGAGAATGCAAGAGAATTTTAACATTTTTGACTTTGAACTAAGCCCTCAGGATATGAATACAATGAATAATTTAAATCGCAATTTTAGATTCATTGATAGATTCAAGTAAGTTTCATTACGTTTTATCGTAATTAGAAAAAAATTCAGAAATTTCTTTTCAATTCTCTATTTGAATTTGTTTCAGCCTTGGAAAACACAAGTACTTTCCTTTCCATATAGAGTTCTAAAATCATTATATGTTTAAAAAAGAATATGATGAAATATAGATTATGACCTGACAAATATGTCCATTCTTCTCAAGCCTGGTGTAATTATGATTAATTACATTGACATGCAGAGAATTCATCAGTATCTTCACAGCCACAAGAACAGCATTCACAGAATTCATCGTCAGTATTATTGTCTTCAGCATTCAGATCTTCAGGATGCAGTTGTGAAGCTAAGGGTTGGTAACTTTCCAGTAAGTCCAATGCATCACTACAATTGCATTCTACCCCTGACAATCCTCTAGCACACTTTCCTTTATAATTACATCTGCAGTTATTTAATGGTTGAAAACAGTTCTTGTAGGACATTGAAGGACAAATTTCACCAGGACTACTAAGATTGCATGTTGGAATATACAATTTACATGTTTTTTGAATACCTGTACAATTGAATTAATGATAATTAATAAAAGTTGCATTTAAGTATACCACATAAGTGATTACTACATACCATGATCTGTTAAACGATATGGAATATCGCAAAAGGGTTTTCTTGACATCATAGAACTAGAAAACCCTTTAAACCCTTTTATACAAAAAGTATTATAAGGTTTATGCAATTTTCCTGCACAAAGTCTATTTTTCCCATTTTTGCTTCCACTCTCTGTAGCTGATGGCAGAGGACAAACTTCTTGGCCACAAGGTTTACAAGGTGTTGTGTGCCCTGATTTCTGAGGTAGTTTATTGCTAACTAACTTTTTTCCATTTGGTTTTTTCTCAAAATTGTTTAATTTAATCGAAGATTCAGGTATGATTGTTTTGTCAATTACCTATGGCATAATTAATCATTTTTAAATACTTAAGTATACTTTTAATAAGAACAACTACAAGTTACTTATGATTCAACTTAATATTTTCTTACATTATTTTTGCTACCAGAAATTGTTATTACTTCATCACTTTTTGGAATGGGAGCATCCACCTGATTCTTTTTATTACCTGACCACCAGTTGGGTATCCATGAAGACCTCATTTTTACTTTTTCCTCCAATTCATTGCTAACATTGTGTTCAGAAGTAGAGACTATTACATCATTTTGCGTTTGTGTCTGTTCAAAATAAAATTAATTTACTGCTTTATAAGTACTATTTTACTACTAATCTTACATTTTCACTTTCTTTAACAATCTCTACATCTTCATGAACCAACTTCTTCTTTGAACGACAAACAGCTGGCTTGCGCAACAGGCATTTTTTAGGCTCATAGCATATCATTCTTCCAGTGCAATCTACACTTTGAAGACAGCTGACTATTTTTCGTTTATCACAAATATTTTGATATTCTTTGGATGTTAATATTCTTTCCATATGTTCTCTAAACAATGTCTCCTTCTGCTCTAGTTGCTTAATACAATGTTTCAAACATAATTCCTCTTTAGCCAGTTGGTGTATTTTTGATAAGCATATCAAATCCTCGGAATGTATGGAGTGAAGACTTGGAGTGGCATAATTATTCATTTCCTTTTCTAAACCAGTTAATTTTTCGTTCATCTCTTTATTTAATAGTTCTAGAGACTCTAACTCTATATCAGTTTCCTCTAACTTAACATCTGCTTGAATAATCTTCTCCTTCAGTTGGGAAAACAATTTTTGATTAATGTTTAGTATCATATGTTTAAGTCACGAGTAAAATTTGGGGCCGGGTGCGAAGATTTACCCGATTTAATCGATGAATTTCAATCATTCCGTACATGCAACTCGGCTGTTTGCCCGTTCAACTCCTTCACTGTCTCCTTCAAGCTTTTTAGAAGCTTCTCTGTTGGATCTGGTTGCCTGGAAAATTTCTTCATAATGTCTCGAACTTTGCACGATGGTGCATCGCTGCATTTGTCCTTGGACATCCACATATTATACGCGATTAATGCTGGCATCGAACGTTCCATCGTTGAGACCTTGTCTCTCAAATATTTTTGTCTAACCATTAGGTCGCAATGACGTTCTTCCATTTTCGAGGTAATACTTTCGAAGTATGGAGGGCATTCTACCGGTTTTACTTCCGATTCGGGACCTGAGAAGTTGGATATATTAAAGAACTTAGAATAATTATTTTAAAATTGATACGCACATTTACATTGAGCCATTTTGTTTAAAAAATGCAGTTTCCTTGTACCAGGTGACGTGAAATCTATCGTTCTTCAAAGTGAATCCTTAAAAATGATATAACAACAACAAAAATACTATATTTTTTCAAAGTAATTTCGAGAAAATTATCCTTAATCGAGATTTTCCAAGGTTTCTTTAATTAGAATTTCAAATAGTACTTGATTGCTGACATTTTCGAGTGAAAAATACTTGCCAATTTGAAAACTTCTTGAAGACTTCTTTCAACCGAAATGAAATTGGCGGCAAAACAGTGAACTACTATATACGTATATAGAAAAAAAATAGAATAACTATCGGAGATATCTCTTTGAAAGAAACGCAACAGAAATTGAAATGTGTTAACTTTTCTCCACCGGAGCTAGAATACATTAATTACTTCAAGTAACAAGGTCTACGAAAATTTGATTACTTAAAATCTGGAGCATACAGAAGCGTATAATAATAATAATGTTGTTTCCCGACATAGTCAAAAGTTAGTAAAATATTCATGCGTATCTTTTTAATTTGTTTACCAAGAATCTTTTATAGCTATTATAACACATTAAAAATATTTTTTATCATAACTGACGTTTTCAGAAGGACAGAGGACCTGACAAGTCGTGACATAGACGATGATAAATGTTCCTTAATAACCGGAACCAGCGTTTCCCTCCAAGACAGTACAGGAAGTACGATTACGAGCTTGGCTAGGTCCAACTACGAACGTAATTTCGAAGATCGCCTACTATACAGACAAGACGGTGGGCGTAAATTTAATTATAAGAAGAGGAAAACTTCCACTGAAAATGCAATATTTAGCGCTCCTCCCGGCGTCAGCCCTCACCACGTTAAATCGTCGATCATACGTCGCAATACAAGTCCATCGTTTTAACTCCATGCATAATAAATATAGGGTGTCGAAAAAAATGTTACGATACTTTGATTAAAAATGAAAAAATATAAAAATAAAATTTAGCGTTTTACCAGCTGATAAAGTGTGATAACATTTTTTTGCGACATCCTGTAGATAACTTTATATTATACGCGTCATACATGTGTAATAATGTTAATTTATTTTCGCGGTACGCAATAGATGGATCACGATTGATTTTCGTTTGGCCCCAAAAACCACCTAAAAGCAGACTTATGAGGATTTTAGCGCCTGTAATGCACGGTATTCTAATAGGATGCTTATTTATGGATGCCGTACATTTTTGGCCAGGAGAATTTTTACCGACATCTTTACCTTCCATAGTACCGATTCCTTTGCCTCCAGTTAAATGTAACGTAATTGAGCCACGCTGGTTTGATAACAGTTAAATATGATTTGAACAGATTTTTCGACATAAGATTGTATTTTAAGAAATTAATGTAATTCCAAAATGTGAAATAAACTTATTATCGTTATCATATTGAAAAAAATAGAGAATGCTTTACTAGACATGCGCCTGTCTAGTAAACAGTGAACACGAAACGGAGTAGATAATTTAAAGAAATTTTATTTACGTTTTTTACTAGGAAAATGTCAAATCACAATTTATTCCTTAAATATGGATATTTAAAGCCACCTTTTGGCCTAGGTATTGGACGCTATGTATGCCAGCTTCAAAGGGTTACATTAAAGTTTTGTAAAAGCAACGGTGGTAGTGACGGAGTTAGGTAAAATATTTTTACGCTCCTAACCTTTTTATAGTAAACCTAATTTTAGTATACGAATGCACTGATAATACCGTTGCAAGGTATCTAATTATTTATTGTTTATCATTTTTATACTTGTATTATATATTATTTGATTTTTTTGTTACTCTGTTTCACAAATAACCTATAATATCATCTGTATCCTGTAATTGTATACATTCAGTAAAGGTTACTTCGTCACGTGTAAAATCATTTTATAAATTATATGTGCATCATTAATGAACATTTCGATTTTATGTAGGAAGTTTTTGGAAAATGATTTAATCGATTTTGCGAGAGACAATCCTGGAGTTGTAGTGTACGTTAAACCAAGGAGACACAGAGTTCCAGTTATAAAAGCAGAATATTGTAAGTTTAACAGTTTTTTGAATGAAGTAAGATAAATGTTTATATATAAATATTGAATACATGTTATAGTAAATGGAGACACACATTGGATGTGTGTTTCCAATTACAGTCGTGAAGATATTGTACAATGGATGCACCTATTGAAGACACAATTTCATGATGGATCTGCTATGCGATTATTAAAATTGTGGCGTACAGATTTCCCCTCTATTCAAGGACCTTGGACACCGTTTACTTTTACAAAACCCGAAATGAATCAGGCAGAATTCCCTAATGTAAATATAAAATTCCTTTTTAAATGACTGTTAAATATCATATTTATATTCGTATACATTTATATTCGTCTTTATTTTTCAGGAAAAGCTTGGTGCACATATCAGAGATGTACCTACAGCAACAGAAGAATTGATTAGATTATTCAAAGAGCAGCAAGAAGCTGAGAAACTACGAAAAGAAGCAAAAAAGGCTGAAGAAAGTATTGGTTAAATAATCATTTCAATTAGTTTTAATACTTTACTGTATATAAGCGAATAGTGTGAATCAATTTATGAAAGTAGATATATTAAAGTCTTCAATTAACAGAACATAATACTTGTGCAAAATTTTCCCTTTTTATTTTTTTTTGTATGTATGTTACAAAAGAATCTAATAAATAAATATCTTTAATTGCGAAATAAAAACTTATATACATGTACTGAATCATTATACTCCCTACTCAATGTAGCATATAGTTGCACCAAAATAAAATTACGGGCATTTATAAATTCGCTTATATCATCTATTAGTATGTATAAATATGTGCACATAAATTGTAAGTATACAAAGTTAATATACATGTTGAAACATTAAATATCATGTACAATTCCAGTATGAAGATTATACAATAAATAATCATAATTAATCGTTAATTATTAATTTGTGCTCCATGTTCCCATGATGTAAATATATCATTGACTAGCACATCGTATATGCAATACTTTTTGTACCTATTAGAGGCAGAATTACACTTCAAGAACCTGTACATTTAGACTGTTTACTGGAAACATCATAATAAGATGGTACATACACAATACTTCTCTTCTAAGTTCTTGTTACTCGCATTCTACGTATTCATTGCTATACAAAAATATATATAGTGACATCGCATGTAGCACCATAGTTCATAAATAAATAATTTTACGAACTAATTTTCTAACTAATTCTATTCTTTTAATGAACAATTCGATCTCATTTAACATTTTATTATTTGCGATATATGTTCATTCACATAATAATCTACAATATAAAATATTACATTTTTTAACGTGACTGATTCAACTTTACACAAAATATAAAAATGTTTTTATTTGATCAAAAATAGAGCAAATATATAACTGCTTATTTTTACGTCTAAATATTTCGATGAAATGAAATTCAACTTTCGTTAAAAAAAAATTAATAGAGATATTCATTTTAAACAAATAAAATTAGCGATCATTTATGGATAATGATGTTTATGATTTTCATTTGTAAAAATTGTTTGAAGTAAGAAGTTTTGCATTTTCTTTTGTCTGAAAACATGTTTATGATCAGATTATAAACAATGAAATGTTAAAGTTTTTCCAAGGGATGGGTGCAATATATAACCCTGATGTATTTTTACTTCGTCCATTGAAAAATGTGAATAAATAGTTTATTTTTTAGACTACAATAGACAGTAATAGCCTTTCCTATCATTCTTACAAAAAAAGAAAGAAAAAAATGCAATTTCTCCTAAATAATATCAAATAGATTTAATTTACGTATTAAATTAATGAGATGACGAGGTGATTTAAAAAATGTAAGAATATGAGATGGGATGATTTCGATGCTACATACACTCATACACGCAAAATATCTCACATTATAACATACCATTTCATAATACACAATTTCACTATGTATAAATACTAAACTTACAATGACATGTTGTAGAATCTCATTATTAAAAAACTGACAAATATGGCACTTCCAATATATCCGGTTATGTAGTTGAATTATTATTATGTTAATCAAATGTTATACCGTAATTTTGTTTTGTTATTCACTTTCAATAAAAGGAAGATAAGAATTACATTATGACCACATAATAAAAAGATCAAATTCGTTTATAATAATAGTACTAAGAATCTTAACGAATAAAATTAGAACAATCCAAAGCAATTTATTAATTACTCGACGTATAAAACATAGTTGAATAAAATGAAACGTACCATATTTGTGTAAAAGGAAGTGAATTGAATTATGCATACTAACAATCTTTCTCCCAAGAAACAGATGTCCACAAAAAATATAAAACAGCACATCAGATGAAATGGTCTCGTTTAAGCAAAATATCACACATTATATCGATGGTGAAGTGCGACTAGAGATGACTCAAATCATTCAACTTTAATTCGTTTACTAATTTCTTCTTGTTGCTTTTCTCTCCATTCTTTTTTAGGTTTCATTCTCTTGAGTTGGCCGTCCCTACAGAATAATTTTATTGTATCAATTTCATCGTGACGCGGTAACTATTTTTTATTAGACGTTAACATACCATTGTAAGTCAACCAAACCTCCTTGCCTTGCTATCACAGACTTTACCCTATTTGCAAAATCAATAGCACTTTCGCCTTCATTTCTGTACATTGGCGGAAGATACCAGACGTCGCAAACTATAGCCCAACTTGACATAGTCATGTACAAGTATTGTATCATTGAATATTTACTACTGTTCCAAAAAGCATCTCCAAATCTTGGATCATACTGAAAAGTAAAGTAACATTAGATCATCTAATCTCATAGTTGGCTGATCTGCTTTGTATCGTAAATATGTTACCTTTATTGCAACAGGATAAATTACACCACCAACGTCAAAACTACCTTTTTTAAACTGCATGACTGACGTGTTGTTTATGCACGTTCCCTCCGGAAAAATGAGAATCGGTGGATTCGTAGGATCAGATACATGTTTCTTCAGTCTGCAAAAACAGAGAAAACATAAATTTGAATAAAAATGTAATATCAATTGCAGTAAATTAATTCCTTTCTAAATTACCTTTTTGCTACTGCTTCTCTATCTTTAACTTCTGATCGTTCAAACCATATGTGGGGAGAAGCACGTGCTAGAGCACGTTGCAGAATCCCCAAGAATCCACCGTGTCTTTGACCTATCTGAATTAATAATCATTGATCAGTACTAAAAATTATTAACCATAATGGACGTATATACAAGTACATAAGTTACGATCGAACACGACAAAAATATTTACACAGAAGCATTGCTAAGACGACATAATACATATTTTCTGAATTACTGAACATTACTACTTTTAATCCAATGATGAAAATGAATTAATACTTCTAAGTGTAAAGAAGGGACATACCAACGAATAACAGTTATCACACATGAGTACCAAAACATCTATGGGAGACGTGTGATTAGCCACACATATGCCCCTGACAGGTCGATTCTCTGGGTTATGGTACGTAATGACTGACGACAGAGCACTCGACAAGACACCGAAACACATTATGGAGACTTTGTAATTCAGCCATCTTTTGAAGCTACCCTCTGGAATGTAGCCCACAACTGCTGTACATACTGTCAGCCACATCACCTGTAAACCATAAGCTTTGCACCTGAGAAACGATGATTCCCTCTGTATCGTTGCTGAGTAGTTTTACCTGCAAAGCAAAGTTACAGGATACTGTTACCTGTAACATTTACTAATGCATTTCAACTTTGTCGGATTGGTAGTATCGTATTGTGTGTGTTACAGGGGATTAATATAATTCAAAATGCAAGGTTGTGCTGATCAATTTTCCTTTTCAGTAGTTTTGTTTTTTTCGTAATATTTTTAAATAAACGAATGTTCAGTGGTTAAAGATAAATTAGAGACAATGAAAAACATAATGTGTATTTCCAAAGACAATGGACATGTACACGAACAGTTACAATAAATGAATTCCTAACGAAGAACAATGCTAAGATGAAAGACAAATCTTGAAAACAAAAACGACATACTGATATCCTCAAAATGGTATATTACCAAAGAGAATGTTGTCTGTGTGGATAAGATGCACACATCGATTGTAGAAGTGTGATTCGACACGCACACTCCTCCAGGTTTTGGTTTGTACTCTGGGTTATGGATTGTAATTGTGGCTGACAAAGATTGAGCTATTAGCCTGAACGCGAGCAGGCTACTCGTGTTGTATGCCCATTTCTTAATAAAACCGTTTGGTAGTAAGCCGATACAAAATGTCGCAACTACAAGGTACTGTACCTAGGGAGCTTTGATATTAGTTTACTTACAAATTTTTTTAACTATTTTTCTGTTCTCATCTAGAACTTAGAAATTCAAATACATCCTTGCACATAAATGAAGATATAATCAAGACGTATCACATATCCTACCAGGTTCTCTCAATTCATAATTGTAATCTATGTAAAATAATTTATGAACTTACCCCTATGAAACAAATAAATATCCTCAAAGGTAGAAGGAAACAATATCGCATAAAAAATCCAAACATCCATATCACAGTTAACTTCCAGGAAATAAATTCGTAGTGTCTATTTGTACGTGTTAATAGATTCCAGTTCTGAAACAATGATACGCTGTTATCGAAGGACAGCAAAGCTATTTACAACGTATATTTATTACAACGTTTATAAGAATTACCTTAAGCTCCTCTGCTTCGAAACGAGACGTCACTTCATCTTCGATAATAGCCTCTACACCTGCTTTAATGTAATCTAAACAAATTGCAGGTTCGAATTCCCTCTTCAATGTTTCAAAGGAATCTCTGCGAATGAGGCTCTGTAATAAAATGAATTGCAAGTAGATTAATTAGACAACCCTAGAGCTTTCCAAGAAATAATTACAGAAAATAGACTACCAGAAGCTTACCTCATTTTTACCGGTGGTAGTGGTCTGAGACTTGTCTGCCTTTGATTCCTCCAAATGATTCCTATGATTTTGCATCTCTGGCTCTGGCACCAAGATCAAATCCTTTGATCTGGCTATCACGCTGTTACCGAGTACACCATTTTGCCTTTTGTTCTCGGCGCCCGTAGAATTATGAGTATTCTGTTTCTCGACCAGAGGTTCGTGCTCTCCTTCCGTGTTGTCGTTATCCTGTTTCCATGTACCGTTTCTCTTCTTAACATTTTCAATGTTTTGTCTGCCGTACTGAAGCAAAAAAAACGACGCACAGTTATCGTCTAGGACAATTTAATGACTTGCAAGAACTTGTGTTATAACTGTTCCACTTGGTCACGAACGGTACTCGAAAATGGAACATAGCAAACGTCGAACAATAGGGCCAAGCGATTTGAAATTCATTAACGGATGCACGATGACTTTAAATACCTCATGATGAGTAAATGCTAAGACGATAAAAAAGTAGGCGACGTTGAACACATTAGTTATTGTAACTCTAATACATATATTTTCCCTTGAGTGTAATTACTGGACACAATCATTGATTAAAACAATGTCGCGGTCAGAGGAAATAAGTGGTTTGTAATAACAGTATCTTCGCAGAGGGAATAAGAAAGAAATTGCATAGTTATTAAGACGAAGGTTCGGACAAAAAGATCAGTGGACTGATCTTCGTTGCCCCCAATTATGTGCATTTATTATTACATAACAGTCACAGATAACTCCAATATAAATAAAAGCCGTTGTATAAGATGCCATTACTGTCATAAAATGATCGCTTACGGCATCGACGACAACTTAATGATAATGCGAGTTGAATTTACTGTGCTCTTTCAAACGCACAGGTTCTTGTTTCTTGTCAATGGAACGAGAACTCATAATCGTCTAAAGACCATTATCAAAACGCGAACTTCTTTTACGTCGATTCTTTTCTTGGTCTTTCATATGTATCTAAAATACATAAATTTCTCTACGTTCCGATTACGAAAAGGTTCATGAATATGAAAGTCTCAAGTCACAAGATATGCGGCAAGGTAATACATGGAAAGCAGTCCGCGTTTGCTAACTACATAAACAAGTAATAATATCCAATAACGGTAATGTTCATTCGATTTTTAACGTGACCAAGTCATAAACGTTCCAGTTCATTAGACCACGCAAATGAAGAGATATGTAAACTAACAAATGCACCAAATATACTGAATACATTTTGCATAATACTTTGAATATGGATATTTATTTTTTCTCGAAAATCGTATCATCCGCGTGTAAGCGACGAAATGTGCTATAGACGGAAGACGGAATCGTTGGCGAAGGTCATCGCGTGGCCTTGAGCAAGATGGAAGATGATACTTTGCTGCCAGACCGAAGAAGTTTCCGTCGGAGTTCAGCCTTTCTTTGAGCGTTATCAAAAATCGCGTAGCCAGATAAAGAGAACCAGCCAATTCGACACGTGTTCCCCTCGACTGGGATATATTACTTCGCTCGGTCCGCAACGTTTGATAACAGTCAACGAAAGTACAGTCTGATAATGGACGAGAGAACTTAAGCGAAGCGACCGGACTTTGCACCGCCTTTTCAACTTCCCTTAGGCTGTCAAACCGGCAGACAGTTTTTTCAGAAGCGGTACGGTGCAACACCGTCAACCTTTGCACCATGTGTTCAACGATACCAGCGTTAACAAATGATTGTGCAAATCTTTCGGCGAGTAGGCCGATCACGTTCGGAATGTGTGATTGGAGGGGCGGGGGAGAAGAGAAAAAAAAAAGAAGAAACTCTCGCGTGATCCGTATAGCCGTTGCCAAGATATAGCGAGGTCGTTGAATCGGTCAGACGTTGTAGTAAACACGATTCAAAGTGACAGAGAAAGTGAATCGTCTGAAGCGCGGTCTCCGGTGACCGGCATCTTCGGCGGTGCCCGAATATCGGTGACATCGATCGGCACCGGTTCTCCGAAGTTTTGGTTCTACCTTAGAAGTTCAATTTACAGTGTCGCTACATCTTGACGATGACTCTACGGGAACTGCTCGACGTCCGGGGCTTCCGATGCGGGAAATCTTAATCTACTGTTCTGGAACTGTTCCATGGCGACTAGATTCAGCGAATGGGACAGTCTTCTTTGATGGGAGTTCGAGGCTCCTGGAATTTCGAGAAAAGTCGTTAATTCGTGGAACTGTAGAATGCCTCGATTAATAAGCTTGCTAAGCTTGAGAATTTTTAGACCAGTATACTTGGACTATTAGAGGACTGGAATCTTTTGGTTACCGAATTGTAGGATCTGTATTACCGTTTGAAGTCCTAGGATATGGTATATAGGAGTAGCAGGATCAATATGTTTTGAAGCCTCTTTTTAGAGGGTCCTTTTGAAATCAGTAGTTTGTCGAGAACTTAGAGCTGAAGGATGAGTACTTGTCTTGGCTCCTAAAAGCAATGATAGATTGGAAAATAATGTCAGGTTGTTAACGCTAGAACTACCATTCCTGATTTCTTTTTATAGAATTACTGAGAACGTACAGATGCTTCTCTGAGAAATCGTTAAAGAAGCTGATTTAATGGTATCTACATTGAAATCTAAACCAATTGAAATCTTAATAAATACACGGTTATAAGTTTTATAAAGAAATTTGGAACAGTCAGTTCAAGTGCTTGGTAGTTCCAGTATTGAACGCGAGCCAGGCTAGTGGTTTAATGTTCTTGGAGACAATTCTAATCTCATGTCCTTTCTCAGATGCTTATTGCGGAGTATATAGACAAATGGGCTGAGCATGGAGTCCCGACGTGCACTTACTCGCTGTGGCCTTGTTTACCATATGAAACCCGTTGACGCAACCAGCGCGAAATTGCTGGAAAAATTGTGGGCATCTTTGAAAGCTATCTCACGTGTCCTGTTTTACATTTCAAAACTCTGGAACGCCGCGTCGTCGGAATACATGATTTATGGATCTTAAAAGAAAGCGATTCGCGCCTTTCGGCACGGTTGGTCGACGGTCAAAATCAACGTAGCGTGAAAAATATTCTTTACGTACTTCTAACGGAGTGTGACCATGAAATTAATGCAAAACAATATTCAGAATGATTACAGGAATATTTGTGTACGTCACCTTTAATATAATAAGTTCTTTGAAAGTTCAGTCTAGAAATTTCCATGTGAATCCAGCTTGAAGAGTTCTAGTTTCTTTTAAATAGTATTGATATTATTATAATATTTATATCAGATATTAATTATGTATAATTAAGTATATATTAAATATTGTTTTCCATTTTTCAATTGTATACATCCGACTGATCGCAGACGGATTTTGATCTGCCGGTCACCGGTGACCGTTACCATTTTTATCATCCTTAACACTAGAACTATCAAACACTTAAATTGAGTAAGATTTCAATTGGCTTATATCTCGGTATAAGTATTACTAAATCAACTTTTTTATCGATTTCTCACAGAAGCATCTGTACTTTTTCAATAATTGTAACAGAAGAAATCAGGAATGGGTCATTTTGGTCCATCTGGTAGTTCTAGTGTTAACGCTACCAACATATAGGTGACTCACGTGGTATACGATGTGCTGATAGAAGCATTGCAATTTGTTTGTCAGCTAGGAGCAAAACATAAGACAATGTTTAAGATTAACATTATCGCGTTGTAGTCGGTGAACAACCTTCTCTGTACGCTAGGAGGATTAGTCGATAAACAAAGACGGAAAATTACAAAGAGCGCTCTATCAGTCGTGTAACACTTGACCCCAGACGTATGGATGTTATCATTGTAAGGTGCGAAAACTCGTCGAATAAAAAGAAAAATAACCGTTGAAAAGCAAACGATTTTTATCTCTGTCTCGTTATCAAAGTTTCCAATATTCTTTACAAATTGATAACCTATGCCACTTATATCACTTTTTGTTTAGTAATTAGGTATAACTACTATAGATACGTCAATTCCTCTTATAAGGATCGACTAATCGATTCATGGATCGAACTTAATGTATCGAGTTTTTACAAAGAGGTATTTCCGGTTTCGGACTTTAAACCGAGCTTGATTAATCTTTAAATGTGTAACTTTATCGGAGGCTAATCGACGAAACAATTAAGCCAATATCATCTGTCGGGATAATGAAATGTTTGTCTAGTGGGGTGGTCTGGCAAGTACGTTGTTTTCTTATCCAATGATTAATTGTTGATCACTAAACTCCAGATAATGATACATTTACAGCATGCTACAGCATGAGAAAAAATACAGTTACCGACATTTTTATAATCCTTATAAAAACACCTTCTTCTTACAATAATTGTTTAGGTATACATTGATAATTGCATGAACACTAACGATATATCGATGACTACGCACCATGAATCGATAATGTCATTTCCGGAATATCAGAACTTTAGAACCGCGAACATGATTCGAACTTCAGACAATGACTCGATGATTTACTATATTTATTCGTATGCAATCAGTCTCCTTCGAGCCAGTATCTTTAAATACAAATGTTTTTTATTTACCAACGATAAGAGGTACCTACGAGGTGTTGTCGGCGAACGTTTCGACATTGCAACCGTCATTTTTATTGCGAAAACAAGCGCATCCTGCTTTCTCATTCTTCGATAGAATATCATTAATATTCGAATCGTGGCGTAGAAATTTCGTGAAAGTCTTATCCTTCGATTGTGTGGCAGTGAAAACGATGCCCGCGAATTTCAAACGCCGAATTATCTGTTGAATGCATTCTATGTAATAACCTCGAAATCAAATGTTTTTAAAATGTTAAATTCTAAATGAAATGAAATTACCTAAATTTAATTAAAAATTTAACAAAAAAGAATAGCCCACAAATACTTGAGTGTTTCTATCGTGATCACACGAATGTCTCGAGACCTGCACTTCATTGTTGACGGCCTTAAATCAATACGGTCTTGTTACGCGCACTCTAATACCGTCCTAGGTACGCCGAAGTACCTTTAAATTAATTCCAATTTAATATTTCCGTATACACCGGTTAAAATACTTGGCACTGCACCGTTCAACACAACGACGAACACAATACGATCGTTATGTCACTAAGACCACGTGTCACACACGTGGACTCTTTAATTCGTCTCAAATTTAATTGCACTTAATTCGCAATTCGAACAAGAATTCCCTTCTCTCATCTACTGGACGTACGTCGATACAAGGTCCAATAAAAATATTTTTTAACGACACGAACGTGGCACGAATCAATTAAAACCGTCGTAAATTGATTTCTACGTAAGACAATATCAATTTCGATAATCGAATCGTAACGTGGTCAATGGACGAAAGTCACAGTCTTTTCTCGCTTATCGAAAAGGTTATGTTTCATTATTAAAAAAAAACGTCTGACATTTACTTGGAAGAGATTAAGAGTTCCAAAGATCTCAGGCTCATTGACTGTTTAACCGGTTAAATGGGATTACAGATCTTTTTTTATTATGCACTGTATACGGAAGCAGCAACCTCGTGGAATTGACGTTTGCGATGACAGTCGCAGACCTAAATTTCGAATTCAATTGTGGACGCGCACTTAAAATCGGAAAATCCGTCTATCGCGTCGCGAACCGTGAAACGAATCTATGCGAGAAATGCTAAAGACAGTTTGTTGGCATCTGAGAGTACAAATTGAATTAAGGCTACTTGTTGATCGTTAATTAGATATCGTCTACAGTACAATGGACACGAGAATGCGATCGTGCACTTCATTGATCGACAACAGGCAGGAAGACAGGCCCCGACGGAATATGATTCACGATGTATATACAAAATTATTGCAAACGTCCAGATATCGAATCGACCAAGAAAAAGATTTGAAATGCGCCGGAAAACGGGGGCATGCAAACAAAAGTTGCGGTTCGTATCGATCTCCGCAAACGATGTTAAGAGACGTCCACGGGAATTTCGCTGGATAAGATGATGCTTCGAGAAGGAGACTATTTTTATAAATTTAACACGTGTTCCGGGAGGATCGGTTTCGTCACTAGCCGTGTATCGGGAAAGAATGTAATTGTCACGACTGTATCGACGATGACACATCTTCCAGTCATCGTGCACAATGCGACGTGCACGGTTAACCGGCCGAGTGTCGTGGATTCAATTGACGATTTTCAAAATTCCTTCGCACGGTGTAACAATCGGTACTGACAATTGTCCGTTGCCAGACGTTGTCTTACCTCGAAAAGCGCCAACAGCAGTTTTATGTACAGCCTCCTAACACCGAGCGACTTCCCGATCGAAGCCAGAAATATGATGGCAAGCAAGAACATAAGAAACGGCGTTAAAAGTAAGGAAAACGCCACAGACATCACAATCCACAATGACGCCATTTTGCTTACTGCCGAGAACTAACCCGAGAAAGTTAAACGATCCCTCGCTCGAGGTCTGGGGGACTGCGGGTTGTTATAGAAAGCAAGTAGAAATTATAGTGACCGTGGCGACACCTTTGCAAAGTTTCGCGGGTAAAGAACAACCCTTATCGATCAATAATGACTGCCTTATCTACCGAGCCCTGGCGCGCGCGTCGTCTGCAATTTGAATTTCAAATGGAAACTCGTCTTTCTGCTTATATCGACGTATATTACGTACGTGTATTTATAAAATAAATATATATTCTCCACGGAAGTCGAGTTGAAATGATTACCACCAGTTTTTCAAAAACATTTCGCATCTTATTTCGCATTGAAAATGCTACAAAACAGTTGGCTAATTCTATTTCTAAGAAGACAGCTGACTCGCAGGATATAAATATAGTCATGGAGGAATTTACGCAGTACGTTTGTCGCAAATGAAAAGAAAAGAATGCGCTTCAAGTTAATTCCGAGAATCAACTGTGAAATATAATTGTATTAAAAGAATCGTCACTTTCCAAGAGAAAATGGTGGAATTCAATCCGAGGGATCCCAATGACCTTAAACATTTATTCGTAAATAAAGTTTATAATAGTATTATTATTATGATAGTAATAATAACAAGTTCTCGGTGATCGATCGATCGGTCACCTGCATTTCGTTTCCTCTTCGCGTGAACTCCTGAACGCGTTAATAAAGTTGCGGAGACGTTTCATAGACATTAAGCAAAATTTCCCTCTCCTTTTTGTCCTTTATTCTGTCGGATCTTAAAAAGAAAGAGGTGTTCTTGCTGCTCGAGTAACAACGAGTGTGCACCATATTGTTTTACCCTTCCATCAGCGTTATTTTCGGACGCGTACATATAGGAATCGCTATATTTCTGTATCCGATAAAATTTAAATAGTTAACACAGTTCATTCTTACAAAGGCACAAGTTTCTTTCCTGTTTCCGCGGCGGAAAATTTCTTCCTACGCTCCAGCCCTATTCGCAAACATACATTCCTGGTTTTTATTTTGCAACAGCGTTCTCCAATCATCATATTTCGCGAATTGAATTTAACAGAACTTTACTGTTACATTTACAACGAAGTAGAAATTTGAAATCAGAGTCAAAGTGAATTCTAAACGCTATTCTTTCTTACCTTTCCAACGTATGAAAAATTCGCCAAGCTTTCAAGAGACTGTGTTTCTTCAGTTAAATGTAATTAATGATTCGAATTCGAATAATGATTCTAATTACTAACAGTTCAAACAATTTTTCACCCGTTCACAACCGTAGATTGGAAAATGCTGCTCGATCGTTGATCACGCAAACTAGTATATATCATAAAAATACATATCTGTCGCGTATATTCTTTCGAATAAAACTGGAGGGTTCCTTAAACAATAAAATCACGCGCTTAAAACCGAAACGTTCGTGCGGGCCAGAGTCAGGCGGATACCTTACTCCAATGACAGAACAATTAAACAAGTGACTAGAATATTCGTACGATGCTCGTCGAACGAAAACAGTAAAACAATCGATCATCTTTCATTCGTTATCAACGAAATGTTCGCCCGCCTCTGGAGAACAGAACTTAACGAACCGGAAGCTAAGCTTTTCAGGGCTACTAGAGTACAGAAGTGTCCGCGCGAAGCTCCGCGGTGCGCGAATATAAAAACAAGTTAAAAAAGAGAATCGAACGGTAACACGGACAGCGACACGATAATCTACAAAATATACAAAAACACGAGTTTCGGTGGGCTTATTGTCGGTAGACATTAGGCTACGTGAAATAAACCGTAAGACTTGTGTCTGACCTGCCAACGGTTTGGCGAGAGCAGTTGCGGAGTACTTTACGTTCATCTTTGTCATCGACATCATACGTTTTCCCATTTTATTTGGGTTGTCGAGAAAGCGCTCGCGTAAACAATCCGAAAGCCTTCTTCACAGAGTTCTTCAGGGAGTTCTTTGAACAGGGAATTCATCGTATCAGGTTGATGCAAAAGTTTCGACGTTCCTTTGTAAGAAATAAAAAGAAGAGTTCTCACCTGCTCGCTGGCTAAATGAAAAGTAAGTAAAAACGAAGAAAGACGTGTACTTATTGATGTTGTAATAATTTGAAGACACGTGTTATTCGTTTAAAAAGAAAACAATGTTTTTGTGAATCGAGTAGAAAAGACGGCGGAATGATTGCATCAATCCGATACATTCGTTTTTCGTCGGTACAAGAATTTCGTTTCGTGAATGGAACGCGAGCTCGTTCGGTAGTCCCCGTTTCGGTGCAAATTGATTGTTCGCGTTCGGGACTGTCCGCTTAATTTTCAGGCGAGATGTGCGCGCAAGCAGCTCGGGGACACGAGTCTCGCGTTCGCCTGGCTACAAGGAAGCTCGGTCGCCTATAACGTCTTATGTAATCGACAGCCAGCTGACAATTGCCGCTCATCAAAAACCGACGGAATGTCGCACGCACTTCGAACAATGAAGAACAAAAATAGAGAAACGCTCCAGAGCTGGTTTCATACCGGTCAATGAAGGAATTTTCGTTCGTCAGGTGCGTTTGCAGCGGAGTTACAACAAGAATCGCGGTAGCTTTGAGCTGTGTGCACGCTGGACCACCGGCGGTGTACTAACTTCTGATAGTTTCGCAAATTTCACTAAGAAATCATAGATAAATGATACGATCATTAGGTTCCGTAGACTTTATTTTATAATTTCGGTAATTATCAATTTCAACGTCGACCTCGGACTCTGAAAAAGTTATACAATCTTCTCTTTCGTTACTTTGCAGCTTTCAGATACCTCGCTACAAGTGCCTCAGTGTGTACGCAGCTTAAGCCTGTTCCAGCGTGTCCCGCGAGATGCGTGAGAATGCGACTAGCCCGTTAAATCCTTTCGTCTACGTGACTCGAACTGAAATGAAGGATTCGCCACGAGGAGTGGTTGAAAATGAGGAGCCAGTTCCGAAGTTAGGAAAGTGACTTTTTTTACGCTTTAAATCTGGATTCACAGCGGGGCTAGTCCATCGAATGAGCGGACGATTACGTTTTAAGGCCGAAAAATGTCTTCAACAACATTCGTTCTCGTTGTCGCGGTTGCACAGTGTTGGTTGCCTACAAATCGATGTCTTCTTGCTTCGCTTTGGGCGCGATTTTCTCTGTGCTTTCGGATTCCTTCACAGGACTGTGGACCTCTGCCACTTCCACTGGCGGAGGAGCTGCGGGATTCACCGAACGATCCTCCTCGGCAAAGGCGAAACCAATTGTCGCCCCGATCTTCTGACTTGCTTGCCTGAACGAGTCTGACAGCATCACCTAACAACGAACAGGTGATCAGAGTTAATTAATGCCTTTTTAACACTGAACGTACCTCGACCGGTTGAGTAACTAGCCATAATAATTATAAATAAATAAATTCTTTATTCTAAAAATTTTGTATGGGTATGCATATAGTAACGGTACGTTTAGTATTAATAAAATCACTCGACCTCAGCATAGGTATTTACTGACTTCAATACTGATTCACATACCTGCACTACGTTGATGCACATGGACGTCAGAGCCAGCCCGAACACCAGGTATATTATCGAACACATCATGTATATGGGATGCTAAATCAACGAACCAATCAATTTGTTAATTTCGTCGGTTCATTCAGGCCATCG